TTATTATTTTTAATTATATTATCACGACTTAACTCCCTATTCAAATTTCAATATTTAATTCTTAAACTTCAAACTTTTTATGCTTCATCAAGCTTATGCCCTTTGAAAGAAATTAAAATTCCCAATAATCAAAGAAGTTAGATAACCAAAAACTTCATCATATTACATTATCTTTTTCTTTAGTGTGGCCGTGTGAACCCCGAGTTGCCGCGTGGCCAATCACCGCTGCCGATGGCCAATCCCACCCCGCTTGCCCGCCCCTGCCCGACTGTCCCACTCGCCCGCATGCCTGCATGTCCCGAGGAGGCGAGGACCCAAGCCCGAGGTCCGCGTGATCTTGTCCAGGCCCGCGTGAGGGCTAGCCAAGCTTGCCGGCTGCCGCGTTCAGGCTTGTGCCCGTGTCCAAAACCTCTAGGCCTAGCTGTTTGGCCACAGGCGTCCCGCCACACATGTTTGCACCCACTTTCAGGTCATATCGGGTTGACCCGAATCCGAAGTGGGTCGATTCGGGTCCGAAAAACCGATCCATCGGATTCGAATTGACACGAATAATTCCTAGTTCTATCCGAACCGGACCTGTGACCCGAAATTTCCGGACTCCCCCACAGAACAAGTTCTCCGTGAGGTGGGGTTTTGAACGAGTTGCTAAAACCTTCTTTGCCTCCTTCGACGACGTTCCTTCCAGTTGGCCGTTCTTGCTGTTGTATCGGAAGTAGCAACGGGAGCTCGCTCGCTGTGAAGGTAACTATCTTTCTCTCCTTCGCGCGCTTCTTCAGCCAAATACCTTAAATCCACCGAACTCCAGGATTTATGTCAAAAAGAGGGAAACGGAGGATTTATTCCGCCGTGAGATCTGCCTGTTTCTTAAATCCTGTTTGGCAGGATTTAGCATAAATCCTGCTCAAATCCTGCACAAATCCTGTTGCCAAACAGCCCCGAAGAACCGTGGACGCTGCGAAATCGGTAGTTCGGCTTATACAACTGGCAATTGGCCGCAGTTTCTCGCTGGATCGTGACTTCAGCTCTTCTCTTTTGCGTCAGGTTTCCTTCCGTTGCCGGGGTTTCAGACGACTGCGATTTCGGGCTATTATTCTTCTTCGCCGGCCTTCACCCGTATTTTCTCGCCGGATTTAAGGTTATCTTTCATGGAATCGGAAAATCCTGCAATTTATCGCTTCCTGTTCTCTATATTTCCCTCTTTTTGTGTGTGTTCCCCCGTTGAATCAGACTTCTATGTATCATCATCTTCCATTCCTAGTTTCCTACCAATGTCGGGTCTTGAATGAGATTAGCTGCGCATCCCCATACTTATCCAGAGCATCTGAAACAGAAAACCTTAAAGCAATTGTATTTCTTGCAGAACCAGAGAAAGGCAACACAGCAGATTTGCTGGCCTCAATTTGCTTTTGGCATTCTTCACGAACCTTTACATTTTCTGGACATGTATCCTCTTCCAGATTTTTGACCTTTATGTGTTTAGGACCTTCCTAAGAGTTAGTGCATACCTCATTGATCTAGTGGCTTTTCCTACACTGGGGCATTGCTCTTGACTTTTGATTTTCCTTGTTCTCTTCTTACAACTTTTACTTCATGGGATGTTGCAAATAAAAAATTTAGATTCTACCAAATAACTTGTATATCTAGAGAAGAATCATAAAAATAATATTGAAATATGTGAATCAATTATTTATATCAGTAACATAAATAACATAAGATGCATTAATCTTAGTTTTAATAGTAGGATTAATCATCATCTCAAGTTTAAGCTAACCTCAGAGTCAAGCACAACAAGAGGAATATTATTGATAATTGATGATCAACATCAAACTCATATATAGAACCTAGATCATCATAATAATAAACTTCATGGACCAACTTGACATGATAATCAAATTATGAACTAATAGAGGTGACATAAGTGCCTGAACTTTTGTATTGGCAGAGCTTTCTAAATCTTTTGAGCTTAAAAAATTATTGTATGATATGATCTCTCATCCTATTGATATTACTTTGGATGAATGTGATGATCAAGCAAATTGTCAAAACACAACAAGAATGCAATCAACTTTATTTAAGATTAAATCAGGAAACTAGAACTAGTTTCAAATGTAAAATTTGAGAAATCTAACAAAACCATAAGGAATCTCTGCAAATAAGCAGCTCTTTCTATAGCTAATTAGCAGATAAACAAGGGAAGAATCAATACATAAATGTCAGCAAAGAGGACAAATGTATTCTCTGACAAGCTTCAAGGAAGATCAAAGCCACTTACTAGATCTAGGGTTTCAAGCAGCCCTCTTCACAAAATGGGAAGAGGGGAATAACGGGTTGTGCTTGATAGTTGAATGCCCGTGCAATTATGATAAATATTTATATACGCAACTCACTTTGGTGTTGGTTTGGAGCTTTGACTACCAACCAAGACGTTTTTGAGTCTAGCGGGACTCGAGCTGGCTCGCTCACTTACACCCATAGGCATGACATCAATTTGGATCTCAACCCTCCATTGTCTACTTCCTTTGTTCATATTGCCTATTTATAAACTATACATTAAATAGAGGTATAATGAATGCTGTTTTAATGATCCATGAATGAATTGAATATGAAATAAAAAATTTATCATTCCTCCTTTTTCTCTTCAGTGAGAGATCTCATACCTTCATGTCAGTTTATCTCTCTCTACATGGTTTCACAATGTAATGATCCATCTCTTTCATTCAGGATCTCTCGACTCTCTCTATTTCTCTTCCCTCTCTCTTTCTCACTCACTCTCCTTCCAAAACATTTTTTCTCTCACAATTATTTATACAAATCCCTAGAAGGAAAATCATGAAAATCCTCCTCGCATCTATGCTGAGAAACTCATCACTCTGGCTTCTTACTCCAGACATGTTTCCCACAATTCGGTAAGCTTTTTTCCATTGGAGAAAATTCAATGAATTACCAATTAGTTTCAAAGCCAAATTCAAGAAAATGAAGAGAAAGAACAAGCAGTTTAGAAATAAGAACCTCTCAACAATTCGGCATCACAATAATCTTTATCTACATTTGCACAATAGTTTCCACTTTCTTACTTTTGTACTCATGAGTTAATGTTTCTCCATTCAACTATTTTTCTTTTAGTAGTTGGAGTAGCTCCAGTGGAAGATAAGATTAGAGAGAGTCGTCTTAGATGGTTTGGTCACATAAAATGGCGGCCTTCCGATGATCTGGTTAAGAAAATAGAGGTATTAGATTTGACTTATGTTAAGAAAGTTAGAGATAGACCTAAAAAGACTTTGTTAGAAAATATTAGACATGTTCTTTCTTTATTAGATTTAATCGAGAATTTGACTTTTAACAGGACACAATGGAAAAAAAAGATTCATATAGCTGACCGCACGTAGTGGGACAAAGGCTTGTTGTCTTGATCCTGATAGCATAATTTTCTAAAACATTTTTTGTTTCATCAATTCTTAAGCAGGATCGAAGCAAGATGTCTTCCTTCTCAGGATACCAATTTCTCGCCACCAAGACAAAGAACTTGATTGTTGCCGGTGGCTTGACTGGCTTTGTCTTCGGAGTCTACTATTACACTATGAGAGCAGTTGGAGGATCTGATGAGTTGCAGGTAGCGATTGACAAGTTTGAAGAGTTGAAGAAAAACTGAAGCAGAGGAGTCTCCTTTTCTGCTGCCTATAGCCTTCCAACTATTTCTCCAGATACAGACAAATTTTTTTGCTTCTCTCTTTTTATGACCAACCATATTCTGAAACTTTAATTTGTTTGTGGAAGAGTTAGCCTTTCTCTGATTAATTTTCTCATTCTTAATATAGATAAGAAAGCATCTATTATATAGGACAATCAAAGTAATGTGATGAAATTTTGTTAAGGATATATTTTAATACTATTGAATTTGCTTTGCCATGAGCGTGGTGTATGGATAATCAATTAATTTGTTATTATTATCTTATAATAATATTGGTTGAAGTGTAGGAATGCTTCCGGTTTGTTGTGCGATGGAAAAGTACCACTAAATGTTAAGGGAATATTTTATAAGATGGTGTTGAGACTTCCAATGCTTATGGCGTAGAATGTTGGTCATTAAAAGAGAAACCTAATATTAAGTTAATTGTTGCTGAGATGAGGATGCTCAGGTGGATGAGTGAACTTACTTTTAGAAATAGGATACAAAACAAGCTTATTCGGGAAAAGGTTGGAGTGGTTCCAGTGATAGAGAAGGTTAGAGAGAGTTGCCTTAGATGATTTGGTCATATAAAATGTCAGCCTTCTGATGATCTTGTTATGAGAGTGGATGTATTAGATTTAACCTATGTTAAAAAAGGTAGAGATAGAACTAAAAAGACTTAGTTATAAAGTATTAGAAATGACTTCTCTTTATTAGATTTAAATGATAATTTAACTCTTAACATGACACAATAGAGAAAAAGAATTTATGTAGTTGACCCTACATAGTGGTATAAATGCTTTGAAGTTGTTGTATTTGTTATTATTATCTAAATTGCATGCCTGAAACTTTGGAAAATAAGATTTGAATTTCCCAGATGAGAGTCAGCCAGCATTGGTTGTGGTTGTTTTAGAGGAACAAATGGGAAGTAAATGTTGCTTTATCAAACAATTATATCTTGATTGATTTGTTTGTGTTTAATTAATAAGAAATTGATTTGTCTCTTTTTGTTTTTAATCCTTTTCGAATTTTAAAATAAAATTGAAGCATGAATTTGTTAGTTTTTCTTTAAAAAGAACATAATATATAATTCATCAATTAAAAACTTATATTGTATATATAATTTAATGACAATAAGATTTTTGTTATCAAATTTAAATTAAGATATTCACCTATTTGTATAACAAGAAAGACCGCAAGAACTAGTAATTAAGTGTTGAGGTGCGAGCGAAGCAAACCGATTCATGAGTTAACTCGAACTTTACTAGCTAACAAACTTGTGAGTAAAACTTATTGAGCTGCGAGTTCAAGTTTAAGCTTAAATTCGAGAGCTCATATCATATGAGCTCAAATGTGAGCATAGCTCAGCTCAACTTATCGGTTTGTCTACTTAGCTCAATTAATATTAATCAACACTTTATCAATTATATTAGTCTAATTAATTATTTTTATTCAAGCTCAAAATAAAAAATTGAGCAAAACAAGCCAATTCAAGCTTTCTTATCGAGCTTGAGCTTCATATTTTTCAATCAAGCTTAGCTTGAGCTTGGCAAATTAGCTTCAACGGAGCTTGCACTCTGCTCAAGCTCAATATAAATTAAACAAGCTTGGATCAATTAAGCAAGAACTTGGCTTATTTATATACCTATTTAGGTGATCTTCAAGCTGATCGGTTAATACAAAAAAAAAAAAAAAAAAATCTCATTATAACATGTAAACCATCATCACATATTTGAGCTGCAGTTCTGCATGAAAATTTTAATTCCAACAACATAAGGTTTAAGAGAACAAAGAAAAAAATGGCGAAGAAATATGAATTGAATTTCATATTGAATTTGCTTTAAAATGAGTGCTGTGAAATTAGAAAAATGATGCCTCAGTTCATAGAAAGGGAGTTCTTGAGACGATTAACTATGTGAGGGAGAACTCTGATGTTGTCATCAATAGCCTGGTTGACACATGCCTCTAACTCGCCCATGGCTCCTGTCTTCATCTGCTGAAGCTTTGCTGCCTCAAACTTATCTTGACAAACCATCAAAGATCGGTTCATTCTTTCCTGCAGAGAAATTATAATTCATCAGCAAAAAATCACATTCAATCTTCTATGTTTTTTTTTTTTAATACTAAGTTCCAGAATTAATCAGATAAGATTAGAGAGAGCCGTCTTCGATGATTTGACATATAAAATGTCGGCATTTTAATGACCCAATTAGGAGAGCAAATATGATGGATCCGGCGTATGTTAAGAAAGATAGAAGTAGACCTAAAAAGATTTGACTAGAAAATATTAAAAATGACTTCTTTTTTGTAAAATTTAAATGAGAATTTAACTATTAACAAGACAAAATGAAGATAAAAGGGTCTTAACACGCACGCATCACATACATTTTTTATATATAGGCAGTCATGAACAAGTGCATCACATACATTCATATATGCAATTGATTTAATCCCAAGCAAACTTATGTCGTTCAGGCCCAACTCAATCAAAGTTCGACTCAATATGGTCTTGACTCGTTAGTAAGCATCTCACTAATTCCAACCTTTTGATTAAAAGAAGAAAAAATTCTAAAAACACCAAAAACAACAACAACATCAAGCCTTAATCCCACTTCATGAGATCGGCTGCATGAATCATTTTTCACTATTGTGTCCTATTAAGAGTCAAATTCTCATTTAAATCTAATAAACAAATGTCATTTATAATACTTTCAAACCAAGTCTTTTTAGGTCTATCTCTATCTTTCTTGACATAGGCCGGATCTAATACATCTAGTCTCTTAACCGGGTCATCAAAAGACTGATGCTTGATGTGATCAAATCATCTAACACGACTCTCTCTAATCTTATCTACAAATGGAGCTACTCCAACCTTTTTCACGTATACACTCATTTAAATTTTCCAATGATCTTAAATCCTTCAAGCCAAATTCACTACATAGCGCAACTATCAACATCAGCAAGCAAGATAAAGAGCAATCAGGTCTAAAAACAATCATAAACATATACAGTAGCACCTAATTTAGACATTCCATAAATATGGACATTTTACAAGTTAGAAAATAGATGGCAAATAAAGATGTAATTGCACTGGTTAACTGATGCTCAATGGTAGGCTCCTGAAATATTACCACAAAGCACTATGCCAAGTAGCCAGGGACTCAGGTATATTTAGACCTGATTGTTTCATCAAGCATAACATTTATTTGGAAGCAAAAGAAGCGAAAAAGCGACCCCAAATGAACCCAAAATATATGTTTCATTCGAACAAATATTAATTTTCTTTACTTGCATCATTAAAATGACAAAATTGAGCATGTCATATTAATTTCATTTAAGTGACAAAAATAAATGACTATTAAAAGATGACTTGGAATCCACAGGTACTAAATGAGGAAGTAAGGATCGGTTGCTATAGAAGGAAGGGACTTTGAACTAGTGATTGTAGATGAAAAATACCAAATAGTTGTAAGATTGAGTTTGACATGGAAGGCACTCTGAATTTAAATATAACTATTTATATTTAACATAGGAAGGTTGTTATATGTATTTGGTGCATTTAGGTTAAGGGTGTAGCTCTAAATACATTTCCTGATTTGATGGACTAGTTTCCTAACTTCTTTCCTAGAATAGTCTATACATTAGATTGTATCAAATACTTTGAATCAATAAGAAAGAAATCCTTCCAAACCAAATGGTCTGAGATACCAAGGCTTTTTGGCTTCTTCTTGCATTGGTCTTTACGCCGGTTTAAGGAGAAGCATCTTCGTAAAGAATTACAAAATGCTTGAAGAATCCACATCCACATGCACAAACAAGTTTGAGAGAAAATCTAAATTCTATTAAAGCCATATATTTGAGTTTAAAGGCTTAGTGGAGCTAATATTAATAATCAAAAGACCAAAAATAGTAATTTTTCAAATACTTCTAAGGCTTCTTTTGGGACGGCTTTCTTATATTGTTTTGTAAAGCTGCTTTTTAGTACAAAAGTCTCTTGAAAGTAGAGAAAAAGCAGTGGTCTAAAGTTGTCCCAAACGAAGCCTAAGATCTACCTAAATTTGCAAATTCAAATTCAGTAAACTTAAATTCCAACAACAACAACAACAAACGCAAAAAATGCCCTATCTAAGCTTCATTAAAACAATAAGATTCCAATTTCCAAAGCTCATTTCTTGTAAATTCCATTCAATAACTATGAAACAGATGTGCATGAATCTCCACATAAGAAGAATAGTGAGGGCAAATAGTTCCATCCCAAAACGGGAGAGGTTGTTAGTGTCTTCAATTGAGAACGATTTACTCGCCAAAAAACCTATTTAGTACCTAAACTTTACCCTTTTGTCGCATACAAATGTACTCCATGGATTTATATTTAATGCATGTTTGGCTACAAGTAGGATTTAACTCAAGCACTACTTAGTAAATCCTGTTAAAAAAACAACAAAACAAAAATGAAGATCAACTTTAGAAAAAATATACCTGAAATTGGGCCATTTCGGTCTCCACAAGATTGTTAGCCTTAAGAACAGGCACACTGCAACTCTCAACACAGCTATTTATTTCCTCCTGGCGCCGCCTCCGGTCGAAACATTCGTAAGCGCATTTGAAGTATGATTGCTGCAGTTACAATGAAAACCCCACCCCTCACTCACTAAACAAGTAAAGAACAGCAATGCTATACGGTGGAACATCTCAGAATCTATAAAAAAACCCTACTTTTCTTTCGTTAGAACAAGAATTCATCTTACTATTTCAGGAGGCAGAGATGAGAAAGAACTAACACCTGAAGAGTGAAATTAACGTGATCTTGAATGGGCTGAAGCTGGTTCTGGGCTGCTAAGTTCACTTCCTCGAGCTTCCTTCGTATTTTATCGGTCACCATTCGCTCTTCCATTGCCGCTATGTGATCCATCTCTCTCCAGAAAAAGAGTAGAATCAGGCTTTGGGAGTTCTTATTAGGGTTTAGGGCTGAGTGGCGGGCCTTTGAAGTCCTCCATAGCAGGTCTTTGATTTATTACAAAAGAATTATTAATAAATACCTTTTTTTATTTTCAAACAAAATAAATAAATATAAATATGTTTTATGAAGATTTTTTATTTCTTTTGGATTCAGATTAAACGGGTTATCTTTGAGTTAAATGAGTTTTTTTTTAATAAATTGTCATATTAATCTAAATATTTGTGGGATCAAATAGGTCGAATTCGTGTAATCATTCAGATCAAAAAATTGTCAGATCAATTTTGATTCAAATTTAAAGTTGATTCGTCAACCCGAATTAATTCTCTTACTTTTTATCGTACGAATAAGTAACAATTCATCATTCTTCAAATTCTAATTCTAATTTTAATGATGTTTTTTATTTGGAAAAAAGTTAATATTAGTAATTTCAAGTCAAGTGAATATACAAAAATTAATATAATAATATAAAATAATTTATTAAAAATATACAAAATAATTTATTATTGTCTTTGCATTTTATTGAGCTCTTAACTGATTATTATTTATTAATTTTTTCATAAAGGTCAATTTTTAATTTTTTGGAATTTTTTTAATATTTTCATTTATATGCAACATTTTAAAAATCTTATATAATCACTTACCATCGACAGTGGCGGTTTTAGATTTGAACTGAGTGAGAGAACTAAAGGATTTTCTCATGTGATGGAAGAAAAAAGCTGCTTGATCAAGCTATAAGTTGGGCTTTTCTCAACTCTAAAGAGCCAGAGCCGACCAGCTACCCAGCAGAACTTCCCAATTTCTCGCCAAGCTCGATCTTTTTGAGAACTTTCGCTATGATTGTTGACTTCCAGTATCAAGTAAGAGCTCAACCAACCTCCAAAATGTTATGCTGAGGTCAATTGCACATGCTTCCTTCTCCTTCTGCACCAATCCACCATTTTGTCTTCTGAAACCCATCGTAAGAACTAGATGCGGTAACTTGCCTCGATTCAGTCTTATGAAAATCCACAGTTTTAGAGGAACGATTAGCAATACTGGAAGCATGGCCGATGTTTTGGAGATCATAGGTCCTCTGGACAACTTCCTTTCCTCCGAAGCTATCATCTATGTGACTTTGCTGAGGAAGTGCATCCGGTGTAAGAGTTTTCTGATGGGAAGGTTGGCTCTTGCTCATTTGGTCAAGCTCGGATTCAAATCAGAACTTTTTATTTCGAATATTCTACTGGATGTGTGTTCTAAAGCCGGGTTTTTGGATGATGGCGCGAAGTTGTTTGATGAAATGCCGCAAAGAGACATCATCTCTTGGTGTACTATCATATCTGGTTATGTTAGTCATGGGTTTGATATGGAAGCTTATGGTTTGTTCAAGAGTATGCTTGAGAGCGGGTTGATGCCTAACCATTTTGTAATGTCATCTGTGTTGAAGGCTTGCTCTGCAGCAGGAATTTTGGAGCTCGGTGTTTTGGTTCATTGCTTGGCTACCAAGTGTGGATTGGGGTTTGATAGATTTGTTGAAGTTGGTCTTGTTAGTATGTATACCAAATGTGGGTCCTTGAATGATGCAGTCAAGTTGTTCTACGAAATTCCTGTGAAGACCTCCATTTCCTGGAATGCGATTGTTTCGGGTTGCATTCAGAACGGTTATCTCATTGAGGCTGTTCAAATGTGTTTGGAGATGTGTCGGATAGGATTTAGAATGGATTTGGTGACTTTAAGGATAGTTATGAGCGCTGGTTCTGCATTGGAGATTTTCGAATTTTGTAAGTCGCTTCATGTTTATTCTATAAAAATTGGGTTGGATACTGATTGTTTTCTCATTGCTGAGTTTGTGAGGTTGTTAGCTAAGCTAGGCGAAGTAGTCTATATGAGTGAGCTCTCTAATATGGTAAAGAGGCCCGATATGTCCTTGTATGCATTACTTATATCAGGATATCATGTACATGGTTGCAGGGAAGAAGCTGTTTGGTTAGTAAAAGAGCTATTTGTTTTGGGTATGAAACCAAAAGAAGGAGGGTGGATCAGCATTTTAAACATTTGTGCTTCCATGGAAGAGGGCATGCAAATTCATGCTCTTATATTAAAATCTAGTTATTTGTCCTCCATTTCTGTTGGGAATGCTTTGATTTCAATGTACATCAGATGTGGTGAGATGATTGAGGCATATGAAACCTTTCTTAAGATGGAAGAATATGATGCTGTTACATGGACAACAATCATGACAGGTCTTACTCATAACCTTCATTACAAAGAAGCTCTTGAAACATTTCAAGATTTCAGGAAAACTGAGCTCCAACCAGATGAACATTGTGTAGCTACAATTATCAATGCTTGCACTGGTCTTCAGGACATAGATGAAGGCATACAAATCCATGCTTTAGTAGTAAAACAAGGTCTAGAATTTTGTAGCTTTGTAAGTGCATCTATCCTTCACATGTATACAAAATGTGGGTATATAGGCAGTGCAGAAAGGTTGTTCTCTCATGCATCCTCCACTTGTGATTTGATTCTAACAAATATCATGCTCGCCGGCTATTGTTGGAATTCTCTGCCACTTATGGCTTTTGAGCTATTTAAGGGGGAGTACCAATCTGGATTGATTCCTGACCAGTTCAGCATTTCTACCATGCTTGGTGCTTGTGCTGA